GCTTGAGACCAAAACATTCAAGGCTGGTCACCTTTTTACTTTATACCTGAAGTACCATTGCGAGTGCAACTGGATTGAAAGACATTGGGGCGCAGCGAAACGATATGCACGAATGGAATGTGATTACTCGTTTGATACTCTGAAGTCAAGAATTGAAGAGTTTCTTGACAATGATGAGGCGGTTTTCGGTCATAAAATCAATAGACGATATTATAATCGTGCTTATAGATATATTGACACTTACAGCAAGGGTAATGATGTCTTGAAAGCTGATGATATTATCAAAAAGTTTTCCAAAGAATATCGATCCCACAGACGTGCTGTTTAGTTGCTCCTTGATGGCTTTCAATCTAAAAAAAAAAAAAAAAAAAAAAAAAATACAAAAACAATTTAGACTCCCCCCAAATAAAATATATTTTCCTGAAAATTTTTTTTTAAAAAAAAAAATCCGGCTATAAATAAATTTCCTTTTATATTACTTGTACTAGTCGGAGATGAATGCTCAAAAATGTCACAAAACACGTTAGGAACTACTCAAAAGCAGATGCACTCTATCCAGAAAATAATGCAATGTTTGGACGAAGCAGAAATTACTTTACAAGTGAAAGGTTAGCTCTTTTTTATTCTTTAAAAAAAAGTTTATTCATACATGTACCGTAACATGTACGTAATCAGATCAGTCAACAGTATTACCGATTGATAACAGAACGGTGGCCAGGCCAAAGAAAAGAGTGTTAGTAGAAGAGACAAGTGGCGGTAGTTCTTCTAAAAAACAAAAAACCAGTAAGAACCCGTATATTGATGATGAGACTGACTGTTCCGACGACAATTTAAATAATGACAATGAATCTGGAGCGGCTCAAGTACATGATGCCGTCAAGACAAAAGAAGCTGCAGTGGTGAAGAAGAAAACAGTCCCCCCTGATGTGGAGATGTTAAAAAAATAGCATCCACACTAGAACCACGGAAAACAGGTTGATGCGCATAGTGATTCCTGTGGCTCCACAGCTGCCTGACAAGACAGAGCTCTCGTATTTGACGCCTAATTTTACGAATACAATTACTCTTTTCTTGTTACTCAATTATAATACATATAACCTATGTACAGTGCATCTATTTGAAAATGAACAATTTTTGAAAAAACGGACATTTTGAGAATTTCAAGTCCGATCTCAACATTTTTTTTTTTTTTTTTTTTTTTGCTTATTTCATTTTAAAAATATCATTTCTCATGTCCTTATATATTTATTTTTTAAGAAGTTCCTAATTCATTTCCTGATTGTAGTGTAATTTTTTTATTGGTCTCACCGAAGCTTGCGATGTGATCTTTGCAATTTAGAGAATTCTTTGACAATGGCGAAGGCGTCTTTTGCATCTTTACTTTGGCTGTAAGCTTCGATATAACGGAAGCTTTTGTTCCAGTATCTTCTAATCAAAAGAGGTGGCTCTCCAGGAGGAGCAGCACTATCCAGAAACATGTAGATATTATTGTCGATGGACTTAAAGCTGTAGTTGCAATTTTGTCTTGCAACTTTCTTAGCGGCCCCCCCAAAATCGTTCGATCGCATTTGTTTCGCAATGGAATCTGTGGTATAGTTCAAAGATATGGCCTGCATTGCCAATGGCTTCTTCCAAAATTAATTTTTGCTTCAAAACATCGGGTTGGCTACCAACCTGATGATTTCCACAACGCGTATGATCAGCAATGGCGATGTCATGGCAGTCCTTATTTTGGCCACTGTATAGTCCTCGCTCTTGAAGGATTAATTTGAAGCCCTTAAAATAAACCTTCATTTTGTTGTTCTAGCATAAAAAATATCAAAAAGTTAAAAAATTACTCTAATTGGTATTCCTTAAGTAACTTACTGGGTGCTTTTTTCTAATAAGCTCTACAATTTTTTGTCGTTTTAAATCAGCATCCAACTTTGAGTTATACAATTTTTGAATTTCAACAAAATTGTTGTCTCTTTCGACATAAAAATCCTGGATTTTAATAGCGTCTTCACCTGCGGAAGACTTTCCGGTATATTCACCATTTCTTACTCGAACCTCATCTTTACATACTTCATGGGAAAGCATGTTCATTTTGTTGGCGACCAAAGCATCCAAAGCAAAGGCCTTGTGATGCTGCCTTGGTCGAACGAGAACACTCCAATGCTCTGTTTAAGCAAGAAAGCAAAGATCACAAGAACGTCTTGCAACTGTTCCAGCATGTGAGAGCTAGTCCAATAATCCTCACTTGCTGCACCGGGATAAAACAGTTTTCTTGAACTCATTATCTTATTTTAAATTGTGGTCCTCATGGTACCATGGCATTCGCAATGAAACTCTGAGACCATGATTGATCTGCTCTGATATTTAGGCAGACATTAGCTCTCATCATTTCCTAGCCATGCTTGTTTTTTGGTAATCGTTGGCATAAAACGTGCTCTCATCATGGGTAACGAAAACATGTTGTTTTTGGCCTACTGGCAACTCCAACGGAACTGCCATACTATCATCATTAGGTTCATACTGCTGGGACAGTTCCAGATACAGCATCATTTGCTTGGCACAAATCTGACGATACTCGATGACGTCTTCTCTCTCCTGTCCATCAAAGTATACGGTACGACCTATAAAAGCAGAATTGTGACAAACAGTTACCAATGGCATGTCGAAATATTAACGAGAGGCATGTGGTGATCTGCTATATTGTTGCTACATTGCATAAATCTATATCTATCACATCAATACATTAAAAATGAAAGGAATCAATTACCCAATATGGATATTTAGTACTATCATACCATAAGCTTAAAAGAACACAGTGACTAAGGCTTACTAAAGATATGGAAGTACAATATGTCTAAGATGACCGTAATTCTATGTGCAACATCTTTACAAAATAAGCAGTTAAAGGTAACAGGATACACACTGGGAAAATGATAACAACTTCAAAGACACACTAAAGATAATGGTACAGGAGATAGTCTTTTATATATAAATACTTGTACATTTTATTTCATAATAAAGACAATCTTATAAACAGTTTCAAATTATTCATAAACTGTCTTATACTTTTACTTACCTTTAAACACAACATTTTTTAATTTGAATTAATACATATAATATGTCTGCCTCCAACTCTCCTATCTCTAACTCTGCTGCTGAGCGTGCTGCTCCTGAACATGTTGAAAATGTTCTACCTCTTTCATCTGGTGTTGATGAAGATTTTGTGATGTCTGAAGGTGATGAAGTTGCTGCTCCTTCCTCTTCCTCTTCTCCTTCTCCTTCTCCCTCTGTTGAAGTCAAGATCAACATCAGTAAAGAGTACACGGCTGAAATGCTGATTCAGTCTGCCAAGGAAGACCTTGATGACAAGAAGTCAAAGTACTTCATTTGCTTGGGCAACTACCTGCACTTGTCCAACGCAAACCGTAATGGTGAAGACACCAAGCGTGCCCGCGAGATGTCCAAGGATACTGAAAAGCTCTTCAAGGATGCTGAGGATACTCTTAAGGTGCTCAAGCTCTCCAACGCTCGTGATGTTTCTGTGGTCGAGGAAAAGAACTCCTTTGTTCCCCCTGGTCTCCCCTTCTTGCAATTGTTGACGGATGCGATCTGTGAGAAGCCTCACTTACCTAATTTTGACTCAGTCTATGATTTTGTCAAGAGTTTCCCCACGGTGTTAAAAGCTCACTCCTTATCTCTTGACAGTCATTGGAAACGCTTGCTTCCTTCTTGTTTGAACAAGGACACACAAAGTTGGTTTGAAGACAAACTGGCTTAGTCTTCCCTGAACTGGAAGGCCGGTTAAAGTGAACTGTTTGACTATTATGACACACCTTTAAGAAAGTTCTTGAATATGGGTCGTGTCTGGTCTATGAAGCAAAGAGCAACTGCGTCTGTCCGCTCGTTTGGTGCGAAGTTTCTAGTACTTCGTCGTCAAGCTTGCTTGGAAGATGGTGTTCAGTTGTTCCTCTGTTTTTGTTGAACTTGCGCCCGGAAGTCCGTAAAGCGTGTATGGTTTCTCTTGCAGCCAATTACGGAACCAAGATGCCTTCGAATGTCGAAGACATCATTGCGTTGGTTACTACAACCACGCTGAACACATCTTCTTTGTTGCTAAACCATGGTGAGACCAGTTCAGTTTCCGATTGGAAGTTTTTTGCTGAAGTTAATGGTAGTCCTTCCTTCACTACCGGTAAGGGAAAGAAGCGAGCTTCTCCTGCTAGCGATGTCGGTTTGAATACCAGGAAGTCTTGAAATTTTAGATCGGCAGTGAAAGATAACGTTTGCTTTTCGTGCAAGTCTCCTTGGGAAAAGGGTCATTCCTGTCTTAAGAGGGAAAGACATCTAGCGGCTAAGGTGTCAAGAATGGCAAGACAACCACCAAAGGTCTTCAGGCGTGCTGAACGAGAAGGCCTACTTGTAATTGAACCAGTCAAAGAGTACATGACCTCGTAGGTAAAATTGGACTTGATGAATAGAAACAAAGCTTCTTGATATTTAAACTGTTCTGTTTTATTTATTTATTTTTGTAAAGATCTGCTCCAACTGTTCCGTTACTAATACTGAAAACAACAGAAGCGACAATATCTCTTTGTTCGGTGTATTGCAGTGCTAAAATTAATCTTGCAATACCTTATGGCAAAGAAGATATTAATGCATCTAGGAATCTGCACTGTATATCATGGAATGTCAAAACTAATGTTCAAGTCGCTCCAAGATTGCAACGACAATAGCAGCAAAAAAAAGACATGTCCCCGTAACAAAAACGGGTTGACGTTTACACGTAAGTGATGATTGGCCAAAATTAAATATTTAAAAACCACTAACTTTTTTGTACATGTATCCTCCAGGAGTGTAGCTCATATAATCCAAAAAGATATTATTTTACTTTTTAAAAACAAAACTATAATAACTTCCAGCCAATTATAGGCAATCATTTCTATCTGACTGCTAATCTCATTTTAGAAATTATCGAAATCCTCGAGCCAATCCAGTTGTTCAAAAGACTTATCTATTCTTATCATTTCAAGTATATTCATTTCCTGTGATGGCAAAGTCAAAAAAACACAACATTAAAACGCATGAAGGTGATAAGAAATCCCTTCCAGAGGACACTCAATGGTGTCTCTCTAACTTGCGCAATTTGACAACAAGAAAGTCCTATGATGTATTTGGCCATGAGTACAATTCAGTACAAAACATTTCAAGGAGATATAAGAATATTATGAACAATGAACTGAAAGGCGCCAAAAACATCGTGAACATTAGAAACGAGCATAACATATGGATAAAGTCAAAGAAGAATACTAACTATTGGCTAGAGAAAATAAGAGTAGAAACAGTCTCAAATACACATATTGAAGGCGGCCAATACGTTCAGGAGGATGTCAGGTCTTAAATTGACCAAATAAGAGCCATGGATAATAGTCAGAATCAAGAAAAAGACGCCCAAACTGACAAAACTGATGGAGAAGCTACTGAGTATCATGAAGATGAGCAAAATAAAATTAAGGAAACTGAAGAAGATGAAAGTGTCGAAGTAGAACCTTGGATTATGGAGAATGGTATCAATGTTACAACCTTGTTCACTGAATATTATAAACGTGTCGAACAGTTTTTTAAGACTGAAGGTTTAATCCCAATTGAAATCCATGTTCAAGAGTTATCAGCCCTAAACCACATACTAATTTTAAAACCATTGCAACATAGCAAAATGATAAGAAAATTGTTCACTGACGAGAATATTTAATATATCACAAATGAACAACTAAAAACGTCAATGAACTCCTCGCTTGATTTTACCAGTGATGAATTAACACAGTTAAACCTCATATTAAAACGTTTAATAAATCAAACCCAAAGTGTACATAATATCGCTACTAATCTTAGGGTATTCTCCAATTCCTTGGATTACGAAAAACGCCGAGTCATCATAGGCATTGCAATTCTGTAAGTATTATCAATAACTCTTTTATGCGGATTAATGCTAATGTGGAATTAATTTCTATAGAGTCATAAAACTCCCTAAAGATCCAATCGTAGATATCACTACTATTTCTGAATCAGAACTGTGGAGTATTTATTTTGACCCTTTTTTATCTGCCATTATATCCGATAATGAAAGAAACACACTTTTAAGATGGTTAAACAAGCAAGCTGAGAACGATCTTTTAAGACCAGACGCATCCCTTACAACGATCAACCAATTACAGTTTGGTTTCAATCTTGGATTTGGTGAAGTGAAAATTAGTCAGCCGACATGCGATAAAGCAGCACTTTGCAACGACGTTTTACGATTAACCCATCTAACCAAAGAATACCTTGATAATCATCGTTTAGACGCTTCACTTAGTTTCCAAATTCATGGTAAGTGCACTTAGTTATGATAGGTGTACAGTGTTTTTATATTGACGTATTACAGGCTTTTCTGTTTCATTTTATATGACTCAATTACCATGTCATAAACTATACACGACGGCTGAACTCGGTAAAGTATCGTTTTCGAAATCGTTAAAAGACATATCGGCTTTCTGCTGTCCGCAAAATTTGCAATTTCTAATTCAGGTTACAAATGCTTTCTGGAGCCATTGCAAACCTAGTCTATCCCCTTCGGTCATAAAAGAAAGTTCATCAAGATCCGTCAATATAAACCTTCTTTATGAGTTTGTGGATCCGCACAAAAGCCGTAAAAGAACTTGTCATGATTTCTTTGGATAGTTGACATTAGTTTTTTTGTTTTTTAATTCCCTCTCATAGTTACAGACACACACGTCCCGTACATTTGCTTTTCGTGTTCTATTTTCTTAATAAAGAAATGACTATTTATTATAAGTATAATTCTAGGTAGACGAGAAGGTGTTTCAGCAAGATTAAAGAGTTTTTTTTTACTTAGATATTGTATGAGTTAGCAGCCTTTATACAGTAATAAAAAGCATAAATTAATTTTCTAACGAGAGAAATGAGTGTATCGAATGTATACTTTGCAGAACGGGAAGAAACATAACCGAAAACATGTCAAATACAATAAACTTGGATTAGGCGCTTAATCTTGAAGAATTTCGATGTCAACAAAAGCGAGTTTAAAATAATGCAACTGCTACCACTAAAAAAACTATTGCCTAATGAAAACATAAACATCGAGCTCGGCTAGAATCCGAAGTGTGCTAATGTAGTTTATTGAAAAATGAACTCAAATGATTTTTTTTAAGGCGAAGCCATGTCCTCCAACTGTATTATACCGTTTCGCTAATCATTCAAAACGTTCAATTATTAAATGTTTTAATAAAGTAGAGTTCTCAGTAGACCATCTTTTGAGATATAAAAGTGTTATACTTGGAATTTTATATTATACAATCGAAGACATTAATTTGTTTATTTACAATTTTGAGTGGACATGCCACAATCAGAAGAAGAGGAGGGAAATGACCAAACGATTTACCATCTCAGTCACCGTTTCTTTCGCTCAAAATGATTAGTATCAAGTGAGCAAGAACATGCTAGAAAATGTGTGTCTGTTGTTACTGGCTTGTTTAAGTGTAAAAGCGGTAACGTGAAATAAAGAGAGAGAGTAAGATAAAAGTTTTAAAAAGTGAGCACCAGACTATAAGTTGTCAACTATGATAAAATAAAACATAAAGATATAAAAGGGAAATGCTACGACGAATCAGTTATCTGTGCCTTCTAGAGTGCATCCGGAGTTCAATAGTAAATTTTTTTTTTAAGCAGGGAGGTACTTTCGAATCAATAAAACCTTTTTTTTTCATTATTAAATTTTTTTTTGCTCACTATTATACGTTTTAAATGATAGTTAAAACAGTTCTACACAATTTTTTCTGAGAAAAGCAAGCCGAATCCCCATTTTTACAAAGTGAGTTTAGGTGGGGGGGCTTCAACTTGTCACATACATCCTAAATTTGAACAATTTTTTTATTTTAGCCAATAGGATTGCTCCAGATATTTAATTCACCGTTGCTGACATTTAAACTAAAGTATCTGCCACCAAAAATCTAATTACCGCCAGCAGGCATACTTAAGCTGGCCCTGTACTTACTTAGATGATAAAGTTCACAAACAAATTTAGACATGTAATTAATATTCTCTTTGCCCAAAATTAATAAAAAAAAATGCCGTTATTCATTTCAGGTTTTTTAAGAAAGGACAAATTGTTTAAACGCAGCGAGCTCTTATCGGATGTTCTTATTGACGGACAAAGGCTTTAGAATGTTCACTAGCATTTTTGTACTGATTATAATTCTTTGAAATTTAAGAATCTCGTAGCTTATTATGTTTTTATGCTGTAATATTAAGCGCGTTATGCTAAAGTAAGCAGAAGGCAAATGACTTTTTTTCAAACATTTATGACACCGATCATCAAATCTAAAACAATTGAATCACAGCGTAACATAATCTGATTAAATATTTATGCTGAAGAAACTCTTCAAAATGTTCGCCGTGATTTTGATACTATGTAGAATCTTTTTAAAATTGATATATACATTAGGGGTCCTCAGTCGTCGAAGTTTTAAAAAATAATATTTTTTGAATAAAAATAATTAGCCAATCATAAATATAATTACATTTTTACGAATGAGGACCCCAAAATATATTTTGAGTTTTAATGCTTCATCAATGACGTAAATATGACATCAGTCTGTGCCTGACAAACTTTATTTTGACTTCTTATATAAAGCTTATTAGCTTGTGAACATTTTGAGGCCACTGCTTATACATTTTTATAACAATAAACTTAAAATGAACTCTGATAACATGCAACAATACTCTGAAAATACAATTGGTGTCTCAGGTGACAAAGGTAAAGGCAAAGAAGTCATTACCGTTTGCGAAATCAATGACAATGAGAAGCCCAAGGAGACTACCCCTAAGGTGACAGTCAAGAAAGGTAGAGGTAGACCTAAAGGATCACGTAACCGCCAAAAGGAGCCCAAGGATGACAAGGTCACAAATGAGGTTGGTAGCAAGGAAACCGAGGCCAAGAACACCGGCATGACCTTAATCGCGGTCAAGGACGAAGCTGCTGTCACCAATTACCATCCTTGGGAGGCAATTGATAAGCATTGCAGCGATAACATTAGCTGTGATGACAGACTTATTGATTTCCTCCTTGAAGACGGAGGTATCAATATGCGCAAGTACTTGGGATCGACTAAATCCTTCAACAAGGATGGGGCCAACCACGGAAAGGATGGTGAGACTCCGGCGGCTGTTCTTTCTCGGTGTGTGAAGTACTTTGTGGACCGAAACGTCTTATGTCGAACAAGTTCTAGCATCCGGTCAAGAATTCGTAAGATCATGTCCAACTATCGTGATGCATATAAGAAGGATAGGCAAAGTGGCGAAGGTGCAATGGGTAACACCGGCGAGTCTGGAAAGAAGGAATTCGAAAGTAAGTAAAAATATATATTATACATTGTCAGCCACATAGAGATATTAAAATTATCGTTTCATTTCAACAGATGCATTGAACAAAATTTGTCCCCATTATTATCGTATCAAGGAGATCATGGGTGATCGATATACCGAGTCTGCGTACCCTAATGGCTCTGCTTATCAACTTCCTTTCTCAGGTACACGGGGAGCTACGGTGGTAATTGTAAGTGATGACGAAGAAGTCAGTTCCGCAATTGATTCTTCGGATGAAGATGTTAAACAGGTAGAAGTACCCAAAAAAGAGGAATCTTCTTCTTCGAATGACAAGAAGAGAAAGAGAAGCAAGTCGGTGATTTCCTCGACAGCCACGAAAGCAATCCGGGAAGATGCAGAAAAAGCATTTCAAAAATCAACAGATCGTTTTTTTGATGCCAAGACTCGTGCCGCCAATTTCAAGATAAGATTGGATGGGTTAAACGCTTTTGCTTTGGCTAAGAATTGGGGCTTTGATGAGTTGACTGAAGCCATCAGAAAGTTGCAAAATGAGATTTTCGGTGATAATAATAATAATGATGATGATGATATCTAAATTATATAAACTTTATTAATAAATTTTTTTTTAACTACTACGTCTTCTCATTTTTTTTCTTTGTTTCATCTCCTCCAAAACAATGTTTTTGATTGCTTGGTATTTTTCTTTTCTACTTTCGGTGACGTCGGTATTGTTGCTGGTTTCATCGGAAGAGGATTGAACTCCATCTTCTAATTGCTGCAGTTCCAATCTTTCTTTCTCTTCAAATTGCTTTTCCAAAATAGCGGTAAAGCTATCGCTTTCACGGTCGATCAAGAAATTGTTCAAAGCAATACAAACACGAATCCATCCACTGGCATAAACGACATCATCTTTCGATTTGATCTTCAATCGTAGTTGCTTCAGACTTTGGAATCGAGCTTTCAGAATCCCAAAAGCATGTTCAATTTTAATTCTCATTTGAGAAATGTATGTATTGAACTGCTGGTCATCATCGGCTGTCGTTCCATTTCTTGGCTTCTTGCTTACAGGTACCAGGTAGTTTGTAGGAGAGTATCCTCCGTCACCCAAGACATACTCGTTTCCAACACAATATTTTGACGGGTTTTTTCCCATATCACTTTCGGCAAGTACACGCATATCATGGGAACTTCCAAAGTAACCAGTCTCTACGTACCGGATTCTTCTTTTATGGTCACAAATTGCCATTGTCTGAATGGAGTGACTACCCTTTCTGTTGTAGAATTCGTTTTCTCTCCAAACAGGTGCATCCTCCAAACAAATATGTGTACCATCGATAAACCCAAGACAGTCAGGGAAACCCAGATAAGATTGGTTAATGGTTTTGATAACCACTTTTTCTTCAGGTGATGGCCAACTGACAAACTGATCTTCCATTGACAGAATCACCTTAAAAAAACGAGTAGTAAAAGCTACAACTGCGCCCTCTATTGGCAAAAGAATATATTTTAATTTATTACTGCATACCAATTTATTTCACTGCAATAATGACTACATACCACTGACACCAGATCGTCTAGCAATTTTTTCAATTGAAGAACCGTTTCCATATGTTCCCAAACGTTCTAAAACGATAGCCAATTGAAGGCGGATATCTGTTTGGCGATTTCGGGGTGTATCCTGATACAATGGATGGTCCTGGATCAGTTTCAAAAGCGCAAAGAATGAGTCTTTGTCCATTCTGACTTCGTTAACAAATCCACTGTCGTCAATTTCGTTGAACAGGAAATCCAATCTTCTTTCTTTGGTCACCAACTTTGGAACTTTGTTTTCTCTACTAGCTACATATCTTTTGGATCTAATATATTCCAGCATTTGTTTGTCCACATCATTTTTCAAATTTTGACGATAAAAAGCAATTAAATCATTAATATCTTCCTTCTCAGCATCATCAAGAGCAGGATTCTTTGCAAATTCTTTCCATAATGCGATTTGTTTTCTGGTGAGTTCTTTTTTCATACGATAGCTATTCTTGTAAGCGTTGTATTCTCTTTGCTTGGTACTTTGACGAGGCATAATTAATGTTATTTTTTTTTTAAAAGAAAAAGAGTTGAAAGTAGTGAAAAAGAAACGTAATAATGCATTTTTCTCATGATTTTTTATTGTTTGACATTACCTCAATTTCAGTTACACTGGAATTTTTACGTCATTATGACGTAATTTTTTATTTTTTTATTATTTTTTTATTATTTTTTTTGAATGAACAAGAAAAAAGTTGCTCGTTCGAATAAAAAATTCAAAAAATTCTGATTGGCTAATTTTTATTCAAAAAATATTATTTTTTAAAACTTCGACGACTGAGGACCCCTATTATAAATAATACTTTTAATCTGTTCTTGTCACCGCCAACAAAAAAAAAGTACATAAAGGGTGTTCTCAAGCAAATTATTTAAAATTTTAAAATAAATCCTTTAATTAAAATCAAAAGTCACAAAAAAACACAACTCCAATTTGGGAAAATGCTAAACTGTCATTTGTACATGGCACAGAGGCCAATGTTATTTTATTTCTTTCTTGAATTCTTATCAAAATAAAAATACTTTACATTTGCCTCTACCTATTTTAAAAATGAACAACCAAAATAATGCTTCTTACCCTATTGATGGTCAGCCTGAGAGCAGCCAGAATGGAATCGTAATGAAAGAAAAGAATTCCCACACAAAATGAGTGATGTGATTTTAGTACTTTTTCGAGTTAAAATGATATTTTAATGTCAGAAAACATTTTTTAAAATTTGACCCCTCCATAGTGGTGGGGTCAAATATTTTTAATTAAAATCAGGATTTTAAAATTTTAAATAATTTGCTTGAGAACACCCAAAGGGTGAGAACTATCTCTTTCAAATTACCATAGCTCAAGTCCAATTGTAACACAGCCCGCTCCAATCCGATGGCTGATATAAATAATTTTTTTTTAAAATGCTCCTCGTCATTTTAATACTAAGTAGAATCCTTATTAATTGAAGATGTAGCTTATAATATATGTTTTAAATTTGTATTAGTTAACGCCAGTTGCAAGAAATATCCAAACAAGGTGCAAACTCCCTCTTAAGTGTCAATAACTGTCCTCCCAAATCTTTTATATTTTAAACGCAGCAAGGTTTAGCTGCTGTATGGGAAAAATCTTTGAAGTACTTGCCATCATTTTTGTATTAAGTATATTCTCTTTTAATTAAAAGAGTTTATTTGTAAATATTGTAAAGATCCAGCCTGCGGTCTCGTGCTACAACAAAAACCGCTTATCTATTTCAAACATGTGGTGACACAAGCTCTTCATAACAATATAAATATCCCTTATTTTTCCATAAATAAATCCTCAGACTTCTTCTATCTCAATTTTACTTTATCTTTTAAAGAGCCTATCTTGCTCATTCTTTTTTATTTTCCTTTTTTTTTCTTTCTTTTCTTTCTTTTGTTTATAACTAGAAGCCATCCTCACGGAAACGTTCAGTTATACTAGTGATCTTATAGCGTAAACCTCTGTAATAAGAAACATACCTATTTAAACCAGTCACTACAAAATCTCTTTAAAATCTTTCTTTAATATAAACAATCAGAAAACATCCTTCACGGAAACGTTCATTTTGTTTTAGTGATCCTATAGTGTAAACGTCTGTAAAAGAAACATACCTATTTTAAACCAGTCACTGTAAAGACCCCTCAATTACATTATTAAGCATAATATTAGAAAACATCTGTAAAAAGAGACATTCCATATTATCTAAGATCCTGCATTGTAAACGTCTATCCAAAAGAAACATACGTGCTTCAAACAGTCTTATAATAATAATTTTACTTTCCCTCTTCTTTGAAAAATATCAATTACCCTTTTATTTTCATTGAAGACCTTCTTAAACCCTAACTATAATACTTAAAATCAAGGCCTAATCATCCTTTACAAAACCTGATTTGGTGCTCACTATCAAACTTTAAAACTCATATCTAAATACCACTACTCGGAACAACCAAATTATAATAATATATGAATATGTTATATTAGTCTGCGCCAATTGATAAATTGACTGAAAGATTAGTAATATTATATCAAAGTTCCATGCAAAACTCTATAGGAGTTTGAATCATATAATTTTTAAGGTTTGGGATTGAGTGTTTAATTTTTGACGTTTTGCAAAGTTTTTATCATCTATCAAAACAAACAATAACATATCCAATGGCTAAATCAAGAAAATGAATGAACCAAGGAAAAAAAGTTAGAGCTGCAACGTTAGAGAAAGCTGCAATGCTTGCTGCTGAGGCTGCTGAGGCTACTGTGAGAGAGTTCAGCGATGTTGAAATTCACCATTCCGAAGATGTTCAAGGTGATGTCGAAGTTATGCCCATCTCGTGGAAAAACGCTAGTGACACCACTGGTGCGCAGAGATACACGCGTAAAATTGAATACGCACGCAAAAATATCAGTCGAAAGAAGTCTGCTTGGAAGAAAGCCGCTGTGGGCACACGTTCCTTGACCTATTTTTTCAAGTTGACCAAAAAACTTGCACCCATTATGAGGAAGATAAAGGGGCCATACAAGTCCAGATTCCCTGATGAAGCAACATTGGAAAAAATCCATACAATGTTGCCACTCATTGATCCAAAATTGGTTCTTTGTAATGCATCTGCTGGTGAACAACATATGGAAGGTGTCACTCAGTATCTAAAATACAAGATTGTGAAGGAAATGATGGTGCTTCTTTTGGCGGGTGAAGCGTATTCTGATGCAGCAGATCGTGCGGTCAACAACTCCTGGCACGATCCATCAACATTTTACCGTTTTCGCGTAGCCCGTATTTGGTTGGGGCTTTACTTGGAGACCGGAAGTATCCCTCTCCACCAACAAGGAAAGCATGCGAAGAGGAGATCAATCCTGAGTGATCCTTTTGTGAAAGAGAAATGCGTGGAGTGGATTCGGGGCCAGAAAGTGACATTTAGGGGTATCCCGGCTCTTCGACTTTATTTAAGACAGCACGTCTTACCCGAGGTCTTGGCCATGACGACGGAAGTACAGGTTGATGCAAATGTGATTGTAAATGATGAAGTACATCCTCTGTCAAATGATGCTTTGTCAACTTACCTGAAGTCATGGGGGTTCGAATACAAGACAGGTAAATACAAGATGCAATTAATTAATAGTTACTAATTGTTAAACTTTAATGTTTTTTTGTGGTATGTGCATAGGAAATGATCAATGTTACTTTGATGGACATGAACGGCCGGACGTCGATTCTTATCGTATTAAGTTGGCCCAACAAATGATGGAATGGCACAAACGTATCGAAACCTATACACTCGACGATGAGAATTCAGAACCAGTTCAACCTAACCTGAAGGAAAATGAAAAGAAGATGGTTTTAGTTACTCACGACGAATCAATATTTTATTCAAATGATTGTAAAGTCACTCGTTGGTGTGAGAAGAACGAATCCATGATCATTCCTAAGGGCCAAGGAAGATCTGTTATGGTTAGCTAGTTTATGTGTCCTTGCCATGGAACAATGAGAGGTACCGTCAATGGTATTGAAATAACTTCAAGAGTTATCTTTCTTCCTGGTAACAGTAACGGCGATGGTTATTGGACGAACATTGATTTAACTATTCAATTAAAAGATGTAATTCCTCTTTTTAATGAATTACATCCTGATTGTATTGGGATCTTTGCCTTTGACCAGAGCTCTAACCACAAAGACATGGCTGATGATGCTCTTGTTGCCTCAAGGATGAGTTCCGGTGTCACCGAGTATAAAGACACAAATAAGTATAGGTTTCGTGATACCACTTTTACTGATAAGGAAGGTCGAGTGAAGGCCCAGCCCATGTACAGGACCGAGACGGTAAATATGGAAGGCGTGAAGAAGATTGTTGCTACCAGAAGGGCAAAGCAGCAACCAGTGTCCTTTGAAGACCTCATGAATCAATACAGGCTTCCAAGAGTAAATATTTGTGTCGTATTTTCTCCAATAAATATCGTATAGAATGACCTTCAATGTGGTTAAATTATAATATTCGATTGGTACTCTCATATTACCAGTATAATCTTGTTACAGATTATATATTGGGAGTTATATTATTATTGGTTGGTTTTGATTCTCATTAATCTGTTACTGAAGTGTCAGCTAATGAGAATTTTTCACTTAATAATTTGGGCCAATCAATATAAGAAAGTATTGATTGACTTAAGACCATGTAATTCTAATTGCCATGTTTCAGAAGATAGAAACAAGTCACTGCCTATTCCTTACCAGATTCAATCTCCCAGATGTTTGATATAAAAAGCGTCCTCCCTTTTACGATGACTTTCTCTCCATAACTTTAATAAAGGATTAATAGAGACTCATTTCTTATTACTTCTTTTTATTCTGTTTTATCTATTTTTTAATATCTCAAACATCACAATTTGAACTTAATACATGACATGAAAATTTAAATTTCAATGATTTCATTATATTTTGTAGGCACGTGAGGTCTTCAGAGGCACGCTCATTTTGTTGAGGGAGCGCGGCTTGTTGGACAAGAATGCTTCGCTACGCAAGGTATGCCCTTCTGGTACAGTGCATGATCCTGCTGTTCGACCTGGCTGCTGTGCTGAGTACCTGCTTTCTCAGCAACCTGATTTTTTGGCGCAGAAGAATATATTGGAGACTGTGACGTTCGAGGCTGGTCACCTCTTTACATTATACCCAAAGTATCACTGTGAGACTAACTGGATTGAAAGACAATGGGGTGCAGCCAAAAGATATTCACGAATGATGTGTGATTACTCCTTTTATACTCTGACGTCTAGAATCCATGAGTTTCTGGACAATGATGAGGTTGTGCACGGTCCTAAAATCAATAGACGGTATTATAACCTTGCCTATAGATATATCGACGCGTATAGGAAGGGTAAAGATGTCATGGAGGCTGATGAGATTATCAGAAAGTTTTCCAGAGAATATCGATCACACAGACGTGCTGTTTAGTTGCTCCTTAATGGCTCTCATTCCATTAAAAAAAAACCAAAAAAAAAAATCCTCAGACTCCCCCCCAAAAAATAAATAAATATCCTGAAATTTTTTTTTTTTAAAAAAAAAACCTTCGCCCACATTAAGATCTGGCTATGAATCTATTTCCTTTTATATTGTTTGTACGATTCGGAGGTGAATCCTTCAAAATGTCACAAAATTGATTTTGCTATTGAACTCCGGATGAACTCTAAAAATAATTTATGTACATTCCCCTCCAAAAAGAAAGTTCCACCCTGTAACTCCGATATGTATCCTACATGTATGTTCCATCTTCTTAGATGATTTTTGACAGACATTTATAAGCAAAAAGCTTTCAAAAAACTCCATATAGTAGAAAAAACGGTACTGAACATTATGGTATAAATTTTATGAAAAAAAAAAAGTATTTTAGACAAACGTAGGCTTACTCAATAGTGAATTGGGTACGCTTTGTTTTTTATTACATCGCTTATGCGTTTAGGCATGGAATCAATAAGTTTGTTAATTTTCTCAACTTCTATCTTTTTCCATTCGTTTATAACGTGCATCTGTAATGTCGAAATATTTTTTACAAACTGCAAACGGTTTTGTCTTGCGAGTTTCATCATCATCCAAACATTCTCTATTGGATTCAAATCAGGAGATTGTGGCGGCCAATCTAAACAAATAATTCCCATGTCCTTCTTCCATTTTCGGGGAACTTTTGAAGTGTGAATTGGTGCATTATCTTCCATGAGAATTGCTGAACTACAGCCGTTATAAAAGTCCTTCAAAACCGGTTCATATACTTGATTTATGAACTGAGCACTAGATCTTTCACCCTTGTTAAGTAAAACCAAATTATTGCGACGATTATATCCAATACCACTCCAGACAGATAAGGAGGATCGTCCACTTTGAAACGTTGGCGCCAAACATGACCGAATCATGACGTCATTGGGCCTACGGCGTACCCGAACAACACTAGAACAACTGCTTGTTTGAAAGCTTGATTCATCGGTAAATATAACATTTCTCCAGTCTTCCCAACTCCAGTTTTGATGCTGCTTTGCAAATTCTAGACGTCTTTTTCTTTGCTTCTCGTTAGTAAATGGCTTTTTTCGGGCTATACGACTATTCAATTGGAGCTTTTGAAGCTCTTTCCTGAATGTATTGATGCTTGCATTGACATCGACGTTGGCCATAATTTCATTAAGAGTACTACGTCTATTTTTCATCACATAGCGTTGTAACACCCTTTTGTCCCTGTTACTAAACTTTTTTGGCCTTCCAGAAGTTGCTCGTCTTTGGTATGAACCAGTTTCTTTAAAGCGCTGGATGGCGCGACGGATGGCAGTTCTTGAAAAATTTAATTCACGAGCAATTTGTGAGATAGAAGTGCCTTGATTTCATTTTGCAACTGCGTAGGCTTTTTGATCAGGTGTCAATTGAGACATACCCAATTGGAGGAGAAAAAAAACATAAAGGTTAAAGAGTGATGAGCATTAGATCTATGAAACCTATCCTTTTAAAAAAGAGTCGGAGTTACAGGGTGGAACTTTTTTTTTGGAGGGGACTGTACATAGCAGCTCCAGTTTGAAAGGGCACACTTACATTCATAATATCCTTTGCCACTTACTATTGACGGGCCCAGTTGATATAACTCTATCCGAACATCCACCAATGTATACAGATAACATTCGCGAGCCCTCGAGAGATGTAGCAGCATATCGACATAAACAGTTTTATTAGCCTAAACGAAAAAAAAATTCCAGCCTAAAAACATTTTATAGCCTAAAAGCAAAATTTTACAGCCTAAAAAATTTTTTTACAGCCTAAAAAAATTTTTTTACCGCCCAAGAGAAGAATTTTGTATCAAAAAAACATTTACTACCACAATCCGCCGTTATAGCCCAGAGCCTTATCTATACAATCTATTATTATACAATTTATTAGAGAAGACGTATTGGATATTCAGATGACTATTACCTTCAGCATATGGCGGATATGTACACATAAATCTTAGGCAATTTAAAATATACAGAAATAATAAATATTGGTGTTTTGTACGCTACATTTATTTACGGTATATATTTTAGTGTCAGAAACAGAACAAGAACAGAAAGAAGACTACTTGGTGACACGAGAGTCAGAGTAAAAATGATAAATAAAGAAGTTTATTTCAGAGAAGGGGGAGGGGTTAGGACTAAGATCCAGAATAACGTTTTTCTAATAAATAACTAACATCTATTTATACTATTTCTTATACATGGGAAAAGCTACGATGGGTTTAAATTATAGATTAACAAGGGACTTTACGGAACAGATATCATGAGCAGATTATTTGACAAGGATGAGTAATTGAGATTCGACGAGTAATAGCAGGCTGGATTTAGTTGACATTGAATAATTAGATGGTTCGGGGAATATCTCTGATTTGACACGGGCGGGAAAACTGGATTGGGATATGAAGTAATAGATGATCGGAAAAAGGTTTACTAAGGTTGAGTCAGACAAGAGGCGGGAAATATATTGGAATACAGATTGGTGGTAGGTTTTACAAGGAATTCAGGAAGCGGGCAAGATATACAGATATGATTTTGGGTACAAGGTTTTACAGGGAGTTTGGTAGCGGACAAGGTATACTGATATTATTTTGGGTACAAGGTTTTACAGGGAGTTTGGTAGCGGACAAGGTATACTGATATTAGATTTTAGGACAAGGTTTCACAAGGGTTTAAAATCAAGGCATGATCTAGGACATGATGAAATGAGTTCATGACATTTAGTATTGTCTACTACTACATGAAGGACAGTACTTACAAAATAAAAAAATTTTGGCTACAAAAAAAAAGAATACAAACAGAAAAGAAGGGCAGAAAAATTGTTATCCGCAGGTTTTTTAATTTACATGGAATTATTAAAAGTGCGAATTAGCCTAAAAGATTTTTTAATTATTGACAATCCTTCTTTTGCGACCACGTCTGGCTAATGGAGTATCTTTTTCCAAAGACACATCATCATTTTCTCTACCAGACTGTTCTTCATTGGGTATAGAGAAACTCTCTGATTGCTCTAGTCCGAGACCAGGAGGGATGATCTCTTCATCATCGGACAAAGAGCTTGACTTCTTTTTCGACACTCTCTGCAAAACAAATATTACATTAGTTGCTTAACAAGAGACGAACTTCCTTTTTTATAATGTACGTACCTTATCTCCCAATGTGTTTGAGCATCACTAGCCAGCAGTATTTCAGCTCCCCAGTGATCCAAGCATTGATCCAAATTTATCTTACCTCTTCCAGCCAGCGCTTCCAAAGCAAGGATATACTTCATCTTGAGCTCACGGGAATGCATACCCCATGTCTTTATGCTACGAACTGGGTTTGACTGGACCTCTGCCTCCAATTGTGTGATGCATGATTTAGCATAATCGCTCAATACACCATACTAGGATTTCAATTCCACGTTCTTCATTTCAATTTCTTCTTGACTTTCCTCAGGTGTATGACATAAATCAGGTCGAACACACAACAACAACTCCCAGAGTGCCTCTCTGTCAGTAATCCTATTAGGTTTACCCTTTTCGGTTACAATACCAGTGTCAGGCTTTTTACCTCCAGGAAAACGAGCGATACTTCTAACAGCCAATTGCTCGGTCATCTGATCGACTGTTATAAACACGTGTTAGTTGTATGTCAAAGTGTACCAATGCCATGTTATGATTACCTCTTCTCAGTGTCATGTCAGTCACGCTCCCTCCAATCAACCGCTCTTCCATGGCGTCAAGACGATCGTTTACCTGGGAGTAGTTCGATTAGATTTCGGTTTGCAAATCAAATACTAGCTTTTGAAGTTCGATGATGGTACGAACCATGTCATTTGTGTTATATGCGGGCATTTTCAAATTATTTTATGATGTAGATTGATAAAAACCGCTTTGCCAGAAAAAACGCGCTATATATATATTCTCCATATTCTTGTACGTCATGGTTTTTACATCATATCCATGAGATAATCCATGCCACTATATAAAAAAAATTAGCACTAGTTCCAATACGTAATGACAGCTGTCAGGGATTCAAAATTGGATCTAGTGGTTAATGCAACTGCGTTAAATACTTTATGTTGGGATTAGATTACGGCATCTTTCTTTAACACTTCCCTCGATTTAATTCCATGATTTTATCACGTAACTTTACATGCAGCTATTGCGACAGTCTTTATGAAAACCATGCTCGAATGGTCGAGCATCAACGAAGAGTAAAATTCCATTTGTTTGCAGTAAGAAGTGGAATGAACAATATCAATACCAATACACAAGATGATGCTGAAGAAGAGCTTACTTCCGTCCAAAATCTTGATGAGCATTATGCGGACGATGATACTGTAATAGAAGAAGCTGCAGTTAATAATAATTAAAAATATAGTAACGAATTTCTAACTTACAATGTATTGCTACAATAACTAGCACGCGATGATGCTTTCATCTTCGAAGATGCGATCAGATACGAGCACTTTGACCACGATTACAACCGTAACATAATCCAAAAGTTTGGCATACGCTTAATTAAGCTTCTGGACCATAACGGTTTTTCAAGACAGGTCCAGCGTGATGTCGTAAAGCATGTCAATGGAAACCTTCTTTCCTACATTGATCCTGTTGCTTTCTCAGGTAAATTAAATATTGACTCACAGACTTCCTTTCATACTAATTGCAATTTAGACTTGGGCGGGTTACTTCCTTCTCCAGAGGCTATTCATAGATTACTTGATAAAGGCAGCATTGATTCTGTGAAAATGTATGATGTGTGTCGCGAAGGATGTTTTCTTTTTGATGATAACGTGCAGCAATCACATTGTATCAACCCTGCTTGTGGTGAAGGGCGATACAAAAACCAAAATGAAGCTGAGGAATCAATTTGTGCAGGCGACATTGCACCTCCAAAAGCCTTTCAAACCATGGCTATGTCTTCTGTCGGGGCTTCACTTGCGGA